AAAAAAAAAACAAAAACAAAAACAAAAAAAAAAACCAAAATCACCAGACTGACAAAACAGTTAGACTAATTAGAGTTTGCAAGTAGCTGCAACACAGTTTGGGAGGGAAAGAAGGGTGAAGAAACAATCAGAACAGATTTCTGCTGCTATGAACCACTTCCATAACTCTAATTTCAACATCTGTCTCACACCTCCCAGGTGGGAAAAGCACTTCACCGGTCTAGCATCAGTGAACACACATTCTTCACCACCCTCCCTAAAGACCAGACATTTTACTGAAATCTCAAATATTTTTAGACAGGTAAACCATTTTCCATTCAGCTGAATAGCAGTAAGAAGAAACACCTGAGCAAACAGTGGGTCTGAGGCATAAACACACCAAASAGAGGACGCAATGGCAGGAAGGAAGCGTATGTTCCCTCATGTTCAGTCAGACAGAACAGCACCTCAGCTTGATCCCGGACTTTCAGTGCCTGAGGAGCACAGATAAGTGCCAGCCCAGCACCCAATAAAACATCCTCCTTTCACAGAACACAGCATTCCAGCACTGCTGGTATAGCTCCCTGTGCTTTCCGTCCTGCTCCCAGCACAGTGCCAGAGCCAAAGCGCAGGAAACAGCAACCTCAGAGCTCATGGTACTGTGGAATTGCCTTGTACCCTTCGCTGGCACCTCCATTGGCTCCTGCTCAATGCCACCACAGAGGAGATTGCCATGTGCACAAACTGAGGCCTCACATCACAACCTTGCACTGTAAGTTACATCTTTTTAATGGATTTACTTTGCTTGGAGTTGCAGCTTACCTTTGTCATGTATGGCTGCAATCAGATTCTCAAAATCTCTCATTGATCCAAAAATGGGATCAATGTCATAGAAGTCTTCAGCTCCATATCCAAGGTCTTTTAAAGGGGATTTAAAGAAAGAGGTGATCCAGATGGTTTTTATATTCAAATACGTAATATGGTCCAGTTTTTCTTGGATACCTATTTAAAAAGAAAAGGACATTATCTGTTCAGAAAAAAAAGACTTTTATTTAACCAAGTTCACCATGGGCTCTCAGAGGTGGTACACAGGTCCCTTTATCTTCCTGACAYGTTACTGCTGGTATGCAACTACAGAAACAATTTCTGCTCTTGCTAAGTGGAGTATAGTGCATCTGTTGCTTCTTRTTTAGAAATGTATTGCCCATTTTGGTGTTGAGCCTTCCCTTTCTCTGCAGGGCAGTCTCAGCTCAACTACTGACCAATGGCATTGGCTCCTTGCTATCAGGTGCCCCATCTCCATGCATTCTTATGAGCTGCTAACACCTAGACCATGAAGAAAACAACATACATACCTATTTCTTCCCTCTTTGTCAGTTTTCATTTTCCTCAGGRAAAGCAGACAACCAAACATGACCAAGTGCTCAGGCATCACTCATCCTTGTTGAGATATCTGACTCTGATGGCAGCTGTGCTGCTGCTCACTCTTAGCATCATCTCCCAACCACCCTTCCAACTCCAGGCTTAGACTTAACTTGAGCCAGCAACTCCTGGGTTTATTCACGACAATGTGAGTTGTTATTAATGTTTTCTAACAGCTTTTCTTTCCTCTGACCCTTTCCCATTAGGGTGGTTTTGTTTGTCAGACTGTACTTTTTCACTGGTGTTGTTTTTTATACACACACATACACAGACMAGTGTTACACAGCCCTGCACACAGCAAGAATGAAAACAGACTCACCTTTCAGATCCCCATTGCCATCCATGTCGCTGTCCTTGAAGGAACGAGGATAGATCTGATAGATAGGACTAGCCTGCCACCAGTCAAGGCACTTTGGAGAGAGAGCAATGATGGCAATTGTAGCACCCACAAGCGCAACAGAAGCAGCAATTATGAGCCAGAAGAGAATYTCCCTGGTGACTCTGTAGCGGGCTTGGCTGGAGAACTGCAGCAAGACTTCCTTTGGCATCCCAGCATAAGGCTTCAACACTGTCTCCTCCACAGCCACCGGGTCCACAAGAATACTGCACGTTTTTGGCATTTCTTCTTGGCTACTGGTATCTGTCTCCTTGTCCTCAAAAGCCTCATTTTGAACAAATCCATTGTTCTCCACACCTCCCTTCTCACTCAGCTCCATAGTAAGCTCCTAGCTTCCACCTCGAATGTTTTACTTGACAGGTYGTGTCCTGAGACTCCAGCCACAGCACCTTTGTTCAGTGAAATGAGAAGCAGTGCAATTAGCTATCTGGGTTGATAATCAATCCTGACCAACTGGCCAAAGTTCAAAAGCAGCCAAAAAGTGCAAAGTGCTCCTGATTTTCTGCATATTCGGCATCTTAAGCAAGATAACAAAATGCTACAAAGGCAGTCCTCCCAGGAAGTAAAGCCTATTGTTGGTACCAGCTGAGCACAGTTATATTTACTCTTGCTCTCTCCAGTACAYTTCTCTTCCCTTTAACAGCAGGGGAAAATTCAGGTTTATCAGATCTAGTAAATATGCAGCTTTCCAGGCTGGCCATAGTCTCCCCTGCCCAAAGTAGTCTGAATACGGCTAATTTAAAAACGGATAGCAAAAGAATGAAGTGTTGGCAACCACTGGCCCAAAAGCAACAACGCAAACCAAGAGGAAAAGATTCAAAGGCTGTTTGTGCTTCTTTTTCACAGTTTAACTAACCCGCCCCAGCCCACCCCCAACTCCTAAGCGCTAACAACTGCTAAGGTACATACCGATCCCAGGACTCACAGCAGGGTACATAGCATTGCTACACCCAGAGCCAGCCCCGGGGGGCAGGACAGGATAGCTCTGCACAGGCACAAGCAAAACTCAGGAGAAAAACTTATGCCCACTACTCCAATCCATCCCCCATTACAAGATAAAAAAAAGGAAGTTTAAAGAAACCTTTCCCTCCTCCCTTTCCCCTCTCTTTCTACTACTCTAGGCAGGAAAAAGCATTGCTCAAAGTCTGCACGAACATGCAGATCTGTACRCATCTGTGTGCCCTAAGCCCTAAAYGCCTGCCCAGAAGCCAGCACCCACATCCATYGAGACATCCTCTCCTGCCAGTGCCCCTGCCCAGCATACCAAAGGACACACAAAGCAATAGATTTGCCAAGGAGCCATCTTATCACCTGTAAAAGTGAACTCCTACCTGTGACCATAGGGTCAGGGTCCTGGAGAAATTTTCACAGACAACTGCAGTGGAGACAAGGCTGAGTTATGACTCAAAGAAAGAGTTTGTTATGTTTGGATCAAACTATAAAATAAGTTTATAAACTAGAGATTGTAACAAGTCCAGCATGCTATATTCAAATTACTCGAAAATGTGTTATTTCTTCAGTAGCTGAGCTAAAAAGAGGTATTTGATGCTGACATATTTAATCCTTTACTTCCTCTTCCTAACAGCAGTGCCAGGCAGCAGTGTCAGCCTGTGCAGCGTCAGGCAGTTGCGGCAGCATCCGAGATAACGGCAGTGGAGTCAGTGCCTGTAATTCAGTATTACAAGGAAATTCAGAWGTGGGAAATTCTTTGAAATAGCCTCACTCCCATTTAATGACTCTACAGTCTTAACATCATATCAGTAAGCTGTAAAAGTTCCCAGGCGGACACTGTGCACGAAGGGCATACATTTCTATTCAGCACAATGCCAGTGACTCCTCACCCCATTTAAATTGTTTCATTTCAGTGACTTAACCTTCAATTAAAGAAGGAAATTTGTAAATACAAAATTTTTTAGACTGTATCAAATACACCYCAAGACCTAGTACTCCCCAGCTTATTTTCCCCCAAACTCAGAAGTTTAAAAGTGYCCATAGCTTCCTTCCTTTATTCAAAAGCTCCCTCAATCACCCAAGCACAGCAAAGCAAGTTGGAGGCAAGAGCCAATGATGGCCAAAACACAGCCATCTGCCACAGTTGCACAGGTCAGACAAGCCAAGGAGAATCAGAACGGCCAGGTGCAGAGTATTACACCCACCAATACTGCTGGAATCGAAGATGGAAAGCTCTAGTTCCACGGGAGTATTTCAGCTCCCTCCCATCTCTTTTCTTTTAAGCCAGTGAACTTTCTGATGATAACTGCCTGCGTGGACAGATTTATTTGCTCTAAGGACACAGGCACAGCTACCCTTGGCACGCACACGTGTACAGCTGATAAAGGCCAATTTAGTGTCTCAGTAGTCAGAACATACCACTGCTCTCTGTATTCATGGTTAGGAAACCATTCCTTTTCCCTTATCTGAACATCTTGAGGGAGCTGCCTCCTCTGTGAATCTCACTGTGTGAAAGCCATGCCTTCAAAAGAGCCCCTTGTGTCCCAGTGTAATCCCCAAGTAACATTAAAGGCTTATTTATACCTTAAGTAGGACAGATCGTGTCTTAATTGCCAAGCATCTGGCTGAAAAGAGAAGGATTATACTGCTCTGGTACATAAATGCAGCCTGCAGGAGGCCMTGGATAGACGAATCCAGTGAATCCATGTGCGCCATCTCTGCTGGCTGCAGGRCGTGCAAAGATCCAGTGGCACAGTCACTATGAGGTTAAAACAGAACATAAGCCATGCTGAAAATGACCAAGGGGCAGTGCTGGTGAACACAGAGTTTGTAGAGTCGGACTGAGCTCACAGCCACACACAGTCACCTTTCAGATCAACTCCACTGTGCTCCGTGAGAAGAGCTGAAGCACAAGCAGGTACCAGCGGAACACAGCTACACTTAGGGTAGACACCTGGGCCTTGAGTTCTAAAAATCCTTCTAGAAAGCCTGCAGGAAATATCCAGCCAAGGAGCTTAAAATGATAGGTCTGATTATCAACTGCCACGGACCCAGGAGAACAAGCCCAAGAATCTGGTATTGTCTCCTGTATGATTTTCCCCACAGACTAAAAATAAAACCACACAGGTATTTTGTTGTTATTACAGACCTATTTTTTTTTCCTTTCCTCATCCTGAGGAGTTGCCTGCCTTAAAATTATTTGATAAAGGAAAAACATAAACTTCATCTTAGAGAGGCAGATCACCAACAATTCCCACTGAGCTTTAACTTTTTCCTCTTAAAATCTATTTTATGTATGCAGGCATTATGCTTCTGGCTTGCTCTCAAGCAATTCTGAAATGGTTCCCTCCTGAGCTATTTTAGAGTTTAGCAGGAGTAACTAGCCAGTGCAACCGCGTTAGCAGAATCCACTGAAAGGCATTAAGTAGTAAAGAAAACACTTGATATTCTGTGCCAGTTACTCTGTTTACCTCAGGGTTAGGTAGGGAAACAAAACCAATCTGTATGTGGGCAGTAATAGCTGCTATCTCCACACAGATTGCCATGGTTATTTCTATAAGATGGAGGGGTTAATTTTCACAAGTATTTCTTATATATAATTATTTAGATGCACTGACTGACTTAGTCATCTACTGTTTGATGCTCTACAAATGCCAAGTAGCTTGCCAGTTCCTCAATACCACAAATATTACGCTGAAAACCATGCAGAGGAGCGATTATGCACCCTAATGTGCTAAGTGTAGGAAGACGTTTATTGTTAAAAAGTTCTCTTGCTTTATACTTTTTCATTAAAAGGTTTGTTGCCACTAGAACTGGTCTGACATAATGCACTTTAAATATAACCTCATTATTTACAGAATCAGGACCAGCTTTACAGGTATGTAAAAAGGCAGACACGACGGTCATCGGCTTTACCTCAGCAGCTCCCACAAGACTGATGGATAATGTGACCTTTAAAGCTACCTTTCACTCAGCACTAAGAAAATCTTCCCTTGACCTGGAGGGCAGCTGTCAAAGGAGAGACTGTCTAGGGGAACAAGTTTCTGACACAGTATCTTTTATCATGAGCATGTCTGAAGTTTCTGCCGTCAGCCTCAAGTCCTGGGGGTGGCAAAATGTAATTGCACAGGACACCGTGACAGGATTTGGTGGGGGGGKTTGTTACTTTTTTAATGCTCTTAGTCCACTAATGGACTCTGTGATTAAAGGTTAATGTCATTATAAACGCTGTAATTAGCCACTGCTTGGCTCATGTGACATTTCAGGGGTAGGTTTCAGGGGAAGGAGGCACCCGGTCCCTGCCCCCCACGGTTGATCAGCAAGGCTGGCTTCTCCCACTATTTTTAATGAAAACAATKAACCACTAATTCTTGCTGCTACCATAGCTGCAGGAACAACAGCACGCAGCACTGACTCCATCTGCCTGCTTCCACCCAGAGGGTCAAACACTAGACACAATCCACAGATAAACAAACTCCACGTTTGTTGCCTCTCCAGAAGGAARTTCACTTATGTTAACCGGGCTCTTTTCAATTTACACTCTTCCCTTCATGGCATTCGTCACATTTCTCTCCTAGAGGACGACAACATCCAAAGGATTTTGTGTTCCAGGCTGCTCCTCAAYACCTTTCCCAGCAAGAGACCCAGACCTTGATCATACCCTTGTATGAGCTGGAGATGTTCAGCATTGTGTTAAATCGTGGCAGACTTTGTTGAAGTTTGGATGGTTGTAAACTCAAGAGTGACATTGTGTTATTGAAAACCTTCCTGAAATGGGAGAGCCACAACACAGCAGATCCAGGCAGCCCAACAGGAAGCCAAGGAGAAGCTCAAAAAAATACAAGGGCATTGCTCTACATCAGCACCACATCCATCCTTCCCTGGCTTACCAAAAAGACAGCACACAAGCTTATGTCTTGCCAGGGCCTATTTCTGACAACAATTTACACTCACTGAACAGGAACCTGAGGAGCAAGTTTGGCTCTGTTGAGCACAAAGCATTTCCTCTCRTGGAAGGATGAAGGATTTATAGGAAGGAGTTGTGAGGCAACAGCAGCCATGACATGAGCACTGCACACCTAGTGCCACACTACACAAGTTGTACTGCTTGTCACAGTGCCTCAGCTTCCCCACCTGCAGGAATCACACACACTATCACAGATACATACAGTACTCCATATGAATTCACTCCTTTTCCCTGTCTCTCTCAGAGCATYAAGAGAGGCCTTCCTGCAAATGATTTGCTTTTTCACTCATTAGTGGCAGGCATTCCGTGATCAAACCTACTCAGGCTGTGCTCCTGTGAAACGATTTCCTGCTGAAAGAGCTCAGTTTATAGAAAAAAATATYCATTCCATACAGAAAGCTTCAGTCTCTAGTATTGAAATGCTTCCCAGAGCTTTTAGAATGGCTGCATCTCACCAACAGTTCATGGACCGCACATCAGACTGCAACAGTCCAGCAGCACCAATGTGTGTAAGAATCAATGTGAGCACTGGAAGCAAAAACAAAGAACTGAAAGCACTCATTCTGTAAAAATGCCCCAAACCAACAAAAATCCTATTCTTCAACTCAGGACCCAGCATGCTGTGCAGCAACAGCAGGCACGTACAAGGATCCATACTCGTGGAAGGGGCTCTCTGACCAGCAAAACTAGACCTCAGCATCAAGAAAACATTCCACAACCACTAGAAGTATTTTCCAAACATACACACACCATTCAGTGTGGTCATAGGTAGAAGAACCTAATCTTAAATTTCATACTCACCTGAACATGTAACAACTGAAACTGAAGATGTTACAATCCTTACTTCCCATAAGTTAGAAGAACGGCTAAAAATCTAACTACTACTCTCTGAAACAGTGCCTAAAACAAGTTTTGTTCTGGAACTGTCTGGCATTCAAGGATTCAGCCATCTGGGTAAAACCACTGCTTGTTGAAAGGTGAAGAAGGCACCACCTGCAGCGAATACCAGCCTTTCACTTTTGAACTTCATGAATCCATTGAACTGTGTGGGCTCTTCAGTGTCAGATCTCACATKGTGTATCTGTATAAAATAGTTTTGGCACATTTGTTTATG